AGGTAAATACTCCTCTTGAGTAATGTTCAGCTCCTGGTGACTTCATGAAGGCAGGTTTTCTTGGCAACACTGGGGAAGTGATTTGCCAATGCTTTCTTCTGAGATTTGTAAAACTTCCCAAGCCTAGGATTTCTAGGTACTCTCCCAAATACTACCATGTCCTACTGCTTAGCTTTTTCAAGATCAGCCAAGGTTGGTCACTACTTGCTGTAGACAGGTTGAATAATAACTAAGTTCTGAATCTTGATTCTGCACATTTCCTTGCCTCTAGCTGTGTCTCTGGAACCCTACTTTGGTTTCTTATCATATTTCCGTGCTCTCTGCTTCAGCACAGTAGTACTTTGCCTTGATTTCTATTCACTGCACTATTGCTGGAAATTTGAATTTAGCAGATGTGCTTCTGAACATAAGCCAAGTTCTGAACGAATCCAGAGTAATTAAGTAACAGTAATAACCAAAGAAAAAAAGATTCATTAAGAAATACACGAAGATAGAAAACTCTTACTCCTACCCAACCTATATCTTGAAGTCAGGGAAACATAAAAGACATAGGAAGTTCCCTTTCTCTTTTAAACACAGAGACGTATTTAACTAACCAGAGTCCAGATGCGAAACAGATATAGGCCCCTATGTGTGAAAACCCTACCCCTTATCTATCTCTCATCATTTAGCCTGATGGTCAGAATAGATTGATAGATAGATACAGAGAGATGATGCATTCTCCAACCACTATACAATATTGATTCTGGCTTCAAACTTCTTCTAGCTACAAAGCATAGTAAATTACTTTGGACCAGTCACACTTTACACTTAATCATAAATTGATATGTTTGTTTTAGGGCAATGAGCCTTTTAAACTACTATCTGTTACCGTGGCTTAGCAAAATGTGTGACTAAAGACCTGAGATTTTTTTGTGATTGCCTAGCTTATTCCTGGTTTGTGCTTCTAGAGGTGGAAGAAAAGAAGAGTTTTAAAAGGAAACAGAGAAAACAAACCAGGAATCAGACAAATAAGCCAAAAATGCATTGCCTCCAACACTGATTTAACAAACCTTAATTAAAGCATGGCATGTATGAGTGCAAGTCAGGTTATTCTACTTTATAAAGTTTTTGTGTGATAACTATCAAGAATGTTGCTGCTTCCTTGAAGGAAGTCTGAAATTAAATGGAATACATCTATCATCAACACCGCAGGCTGGATCAATGAAAACATATTTGAATTTTCATAAAATGAAAGGAACAAACTACGCTTTAAATATAAAATAATAACAGGACATTAAACTCCATCTGCACTATAACAGCTAGCACTGACATTAATTAATGCCAAACAGGTACTATCACAGATCCCACTGTTTGATCTCAGTACTAAGATGCGTACATTCCTCCTCCCTTCCCAAGAGCAATATTTATTTTTAAAGTCCTTTGTTCAAGTCTCTGATGAGAAAAAAAATCCTGACAATTTTGCAAATTCTCCCCAACTAATAATAAAAGAAATGGTGAATTCAGATATTTCATCTTATGAAGAACATGCATATTTTATTTGAAAGGAATTAACAATAATAAAAAGGCTCCGTTATATAAATTTAATTCCAAAGAAAAATAGAATCTCAACCAGCTACCATGTTTTATTTCAATTTCCTTTTGTTTTTTAGAAGCCTGGGCAATAAAGAGGCTATCACAAAATACTCTGATATTCTAAGACATCTCCTCAACAAGATGTTAGTATCTCTTAATCACAATAATACATTAATGCCAGTTCTCTCACTGTAATGCAAATGATAAGGTCACAATAACAGGATTTAGGGCAGTGTTGTCCAAACTTGGCCACTTTAAGATGAGTGGACTTCAACTCCCA